CCTTTCCCCACAGTGGGACGATGAGACGGACATGGCCCAGCTGGAGGCCTGTGTGCGATCTATCCAGCTGGACGGGCTGGTCTGGGGGGCCTCCAAGCTGGTGCCCGTGGGCTACGGTATCCGGAAGCTACAGATTCAGTGTGTGGTGGAGGACGACAAGGTGGGGACAGACTTGCTGGAGGAGGAGATCACCAAGTTTGAGGAGCACGTGAGTGGGCTGGCCGGGGAGAGGAGACTGGGGGCCCTGGCCCATGCCCTGCACTGGGGCAGTGAGGAGCGAGTCCCAGAGTGAACCCCCCTCAGAGGAGGCTCCTGGCTCCGAGTGGGCTGTAGGGGAACAGCCCTGACCATCACCCTCCACTTCTCCTCAGGTGCAGAGTGTCGATATCGCAGCTTTCAACAAGATCTGAAGCCTGAGTGTGTGCGCGCGCGTGCCTGAGGCCCTGCCACGATTAAAGACTGAGACCGGCCCTCTGGTTCCTGTCCTGGTCATTTCCTGCTCGTACCCGGCCTGTCTCCCTCCCTGTCTCAGCCCCGTCTCCGCCCTGCTGCTCCCACACAGTCATCTCAGCTGCTGCACCTTCTGTGGCCATGTGACCTTGCCCCCAGCAGACCTCTGCCTGTCCCTCCATCTCCTGGCCACTCCCTCCCAAAGCTCTGGCCCTCCGTCTTCTCCTTTCCATTGCAAAAGCAAGTCGAATTCATAGCGGTTTAAAAAGCCAGAAACAGAAACTGTTAGCTCACTATCTGGAGAGCCCAGCACCCTACCACTCTGCCTCCTGTTGGCACTGTCCCCATGGGAGCAAGCGTGCAAGCCTGGAACTGTCCAGGAAAGAGGTCCCAGTGGCTCCCGGCCCTGCTGCCATGCCCTTTGTCATGTGCTGTCACAGCCCTCCCCTCACCTCATTCATTCCTGGAAGCCCTGCCCCCTTGCTCCAGGGACTGTGCCCCTCCCCTGATGTTCTGGGGTGGCCGGAGTGTGGCTTCCTGGGCTCTGTGGAGCTGTGCCTCAACATCCTGGCAGCCCCATGTGGTCAGCATGCATGGCCACGCTCCCTCCCCTGGACCACACATGTCTGCATTGGGGTGAAAAAGGATGGGGTGTAATTACTTGATTATTTCTGGTCAGACGGTGTCCTCAGGGCCCCAAGCCACAGGGGAATGGATTCCCCCTGGATAGTGGCCCCTGACTTTGCCCTCAAAGGTTTAGAAAGTTTCCTGTGGGGCGTGGAGTACAGGATCCCATAAAAGCCACCACTGAGGGACACTGGGCCTTCATAGCCACAGAAGGTCTTTTGGTGCCAGTCAACAGTGGGCCTGTGCCCCCCTGCCCCACGCCTCCCTTTCCTGGGTGCCAAGCTCTTTCCAAACGACATTTGCGTCCATCTGGGCTCCCTCGTCCTAGCCTGGCTGCTCAAGCTCCAACTAAGGCAGCCTCTGGCCTCCCTTCCCAGGCCCAGGGCAGAAGCTGGCTGCTGGCCAGCGGTTGTCTTCTGGGTCGGTGCGGGTGGAGTCTGGCTGGTCTGTCCTCCACCCTTTCCGCCTCCTGGCAAGTCCTGAGCTGCACCTCATTGCCTGATCAAGGGGCGGAGACACGGGCGACTGGGGGCACCTCCGGTGACCAGAACGGGGCTGCGCTCCAAAGAGGCCGTTGGGCCTGGAGTGGGGTTGGGGGTCCGAGAAGAGTTGAGTGACATCTGCCACCCCATCCCGGGTTCAGCTGTTTCAGCCCCTCTCAGCGCACGGAGACTGTTAGACCCTTCCCGTCCTCCAGCGCGTCCCGCGCCGCTCCCAAACCGCACGATAAGCCCCACCGGGAGTGCGCCATAGGCCGGGGCGCGTCA